TTTTTTTTGGGAAAAAAAATATAAAGTAGAGGCCTTTTCGGAAAAAATGAAAAAAGTTACAAGGTCTTGTCTTTTCAAGCAAAAAATAAATTTGAGGTTTAATCCGGAAAAAAAAAAAACAAAAATATAAGGTCTTTTATGAGATTAACCCTGTTTATTATACCATTCTACTTTAACTTCTTCCTATTACAACATTCTACCTCAAAAAATCTAGCCAATATCATCCACAAACAAAAAAAAAAAAAAAGCAATTTCACTCCCATAAATTGAAGTATAATGTGTTTCTCTTAAATTGCTATAACTTGGTTGATTTTTTCAAAACACAATACCTTTTCAAGAAAAATAAAATGAAAGCTATAAATAAATAACTAAACGAAAGCAAATTGCTATTTCTTGCACTTAACCCAAATCACAATGCCCCACCAACAAGATGCACATATAACAAAATAGAGTAAATTACACGAACAGTCCCTATGGTTTGGGGTAATTTGCATGTTTGGTCCCTAACTTATTTTTTTAACTCGGAAGGTCCCTACCATTTATTTTGTTCCACGCTTGGTCCCTCCAGTTTGTTTCTGTTACGTGCTGTCTTACCTAAAAAGACTATTATTTAAATAGAAAAAATTGTAAGGTAGTGGGGTTGAGACAGGGACCAAGCACGTAACAAAAATAAACAGCAGAGACCTTCCGAGTTAAAAAAACAAGTTAGGGACCAAACGCGCAAATTACCCAAAACCATAGGGACCATTCGTGTAACTTACTCAATAAAATAACTATAAAACAATAAATCTCAAATCTTACATGATCAAGCAACAAGACATCATCTTCCTCCTCAAGTCTTGAAAAGTCAATAGCGCGTTGACCAGTGACAAGTTCAAGAAGCATAATCCCATAACCAAAAATATCTGTTCTTTCAGAAGATTTCCCTGTGGAAAGATACTCAGGGGCAATATGTCCCATGGTCCCACGCACTTGAGTAGTGACATTTGTTTTTCTAATATCAACCAATTTAGCCAATCCAAAATCACCTACAACTGCTTCAAAATCCTCATCTAGTAATACATTTGCAGCTTTTACATCTCTATGGATTATTTTAGGGTTACAGTGTTCATGAAGATATTCGAGTCCACGAGCTGTTCCTAATGCTATTCTTTTTCTTGTCATCCAATCTAATACAGCTTCACCAGGTTTGATTTCTGTCAAATGTGAAAATTTGTTGTTTTAGGGATTATAGAAATGTTAATTTTTTTTGGTATTGTGGTTTGATAAATGTTTTTTAAAGTGTAATGTTGTAAGAGGAAAAAATTACTCGAGTGATGTAGAAGTGAAAACTAAAAAAGATTAAAATTATGTGGTTTGGTTTTTGTTGGGTTTGATAATCGGGGTTTTTTAGGTCAAAAACTGTTTTTTTTTTTGGAAAATATTAAGTGATTAGCAAAAAACTTGAAACTATGGTCTGTTCGGTTTTTTTGGAAAAAAAAATGTATTTTTTATATTGCATGTGAATAAAATGTAACTGTATGCTGTATTACATTATTTAATTATAATTGATGAATTTTTCATTTACAGGTATATAAGAGAATGAACATAATAAAAGCTCGTTAATGCCCAAATAAGATTTACGATAAAAATATATTTATAGTTACTTTTAGAAAATAAAACTGTACTTTAAATAAAACCATGAATTCATTAAAAAAAAAAATTAAATACGAAAGAGAGTTATATTGAAATTTTTCATTCCATGGTTGGAAAAAGAACACTCTCTCCAAGGAATGAAAACTAAAAAAAATGGAAGGAATCACATTCCTTCAAGAATGGTCGATTCCATTCATACAAAAAACAAACAAACTTCTTTTCTTGATTCCAATGGAATGAATCATACCATTCCTTCCCGAATTCCATCAAACCAATGGAATAAGCAAAGTAATGGAACGAGTCATTACATCCCATAATCATGTTTGGTCAGTCTGTAGAAATGAAACGGAATAAAGTTTTATATTGCAATTTTTCATTCCATTCATAGAAAACAAGAAAAAAATACTTCTTTTCTTGATTCCAATGGAATGAACCATTCCATTCCTTCCCGAATTCCATCAAACCAAACAATATCTAATAGTGTGTTTGGTTAGATGGAATGGAATGACGAACGAATGAAATAAGCAAAATAATGGAATGAGTCATTACATTCCATGATCATGTTTGGTCAATCGGTAGGAAAGGAATGGAATGGAATGAATCATTACATTCCATGATCATGTTTACATTCCATGATCATGTTTGGTCAGTCAGTCTGTAGGAAAGGAAATGAAAGGAATGGAATGTAATGAGTCATTACGTTCCATGATCATGCTTGGTCAGTCTGTCTGTAGGAAAGGAAAGGAATGGAATGGAATGAGTCATTACATTCCATGATCATGTTTGGTCAGTCTGTCTGTAGGAAAGGAAAGGAAAGGAAAGGAAAGGAAAGGAATGGAATGGAATGAGTCATTACATTCCATAGAGTTTCTTACAAGAGCATAAGCATAACAAATTAACAAGTACCTCTTAGGCGATATGCAACACTTAGGTTTTGCATATAGGGATACACCAACAGCCGCTCGGTTGGGGTGGTGCAAAACCCAATGAGCCGCAACAAATTCCGGTGAACCGCCACACTTATCATCTCAACCTCACGTTGGAACGCCGCATCGCCACCTGGACTCTCGTAATCAGTCAACCGTTTGACCGCAACTTTTGTATTGTCCCCAAGAACTCCTTTATAAACCTTCCCAAAACCTCCTTGTCCAAGCACATTTCTTTCATTGAAATTGTCAGTCGCAAGTTGGAGTTCCCTCCATGCAAATCGCTTCAGTTGACCAAATGCAATCCTTCGGTCAACCTCCCCTAAAAAGTCAAAACAATAAAAATTAGTAAAAGGCCGATGAGAGTTGGAAGAAATTTGGATGAATATACAAAGGGGGATTGATTGTAAAGTTATATTGGGACTTGTCGAGTTTGATTATGTTTTGTTTTTAAGTTTATGTATGGTTATTGGGGTTTTTGTAGAAATCGGTTTGATTTTAGGGTTTTTTTGGGGAAGATGAAAATAGACAGACAAGGGCAAAATGGTCATTTTCAGTCACCTGCAACATCAACAAAGACCTCACGTTTGTAGCCTTTGTGTCTACCCCTCCATAAAAATAACACCAAACATCCAACCAAAATAAGGGCAAGAACTCCACCAATAACCCCAATCACAATTCCTGCCTTTGATTTCTTTGAAGAATCTACAACATTATAATATAATAAGGTTACTTAAATGTAAAAAAAAATAGCAAATTTCATCCAAATAGAAAGCAATTTTCACTGCTATAAAAAAATACCTCCAGAAGTGGAAGCACAAGGATGGGTATTATTAAAACCACAATTCAACCTGTTCCCTGTAAAACTGTAATAACATGTCAAGATAAAAACATCATAAACAAATAAAAAATTAAGAATTCTATTTTTTAAAAAGTTAAAATATACATACTTGAATTTAGAAAGCTGAAATAAACGATCAGGTATTTCACCACTCAGATTGTTGGAACCAAGTAATCTGCTTTCAAAAAGTAGTTACAAATTACAACAACACTTAACAAAATTAGAAATATTAACTACTAGATTTGTTAAAATGTTAAGTATGTTTCTCTTTTTAGAGTATTAATTAATTAAATTACATGCTAGTCAAATTTGGAAGACTTGAAAGTGATTCAGGGATAGATCCTTCAAGGTTGTTTTGGCTCAAGATCCTACACATTAAAAAATATAATAAATGAGAAAAATTATTAATCAATTAGTATCAATGGAATGTTAAAGATTCTTTATCTTTATATGTATTAAATTAAATAAAGTGTTGCTTACAAAAATTGAAGATTTTTTAGATTTCCAAGTGAAGATGGTATTTGACCATTTAATTTATTGCTTTCAAGATCCAACATTGTGAGGCTACTCAGGTTTCCATATTCTTCAGGTATCCCCCCTGTTATTTGATTCCCTTGTAAAGAACTGAAAGTCAACGAAAAAAAGTCAAACCCTAATGAGAGAAAAATTGCAATTTTATAATCTTATTATGGATTCTCCTATACATACAGTATCGTTAGCCTTGACAAAACTTGTATTCTTGGTGACAAGGTTCCTGTAAAGCCCATGAAAGACATCGATCTGCAAATAAAATTAACAATTAATATCACACAAGAAAACCTAAATTTAATCAAAAATAAATAAATAAATGAATGTTATAGTTACTTACACAGAAAAAACATTATTATTTGAATCACAACTAACTTTAGACCAAGTGCAAGGGTTAACTTGATTCTGATTCCAATCAGTGAGTTGATCTGGTGAAGCCTTGAGTGAAGTTCTCAATTCAAAAAGTGCATCTCCTATAAATAATAAAATTATCTCAAAAGTTTTATATTTTCGTTTCTAACAATAGATACAAAAAGGGTTATATGAAAGTAAAATACAAATACAAGGAGAATCAGAATATACCTTGAGCATCAGGTGCTACTAAATGGAAATTTACAAGTAGAAGAAGTATTAATATAAGCTCCATCTTTGAAGAAAACCAAAATCAGTGCTAATGATTTGATTCAACTATTGGCATTACATACACTTTGATTGCATGAATATAAATCATTTCTGTAAATGGAAGAAAAAAATTAATGAGAGAAGGTTTATAATTCATTAATATTCATGTATTCGAGAACTAGTGACAGAGTTAAAGTCACATTTATATCATTATTCAGGTTTGTTGGAACGATTTTCCATTAATTTGACCTTTTAAATGATCAGAAAATCAGATATTAATGAGCGCTATAGGGTCTTCAAGCATAATGTAAGATTCAACAGAGTACTAAAATTAGAAACGAAGAATCGAATTGATGAGAAGCTTCAATGATCCGGAAAAACGCATCCTCAAATTTCAAGAATTTATGTAACTTTTAAGTACCCATTTCGAATAAATGAAACGAAATGCTTCGTAATCAAATATTAAGGTCAAAAAATCGAACTAGATTTAAGAAACTCAAAATGAAAATCTAGAAAGGGCTCAGATTTCTTGTTACGGAATATTAAATTCAAATAAATACGGGAAATCAGCAACTATGATTTTGGTGTCTGAAACGTTCAGACACGGATGAGTTACAGACTTATCGAGCTTCTTCTCAGTGTCCGAAAGCAAATCAACACAGTTATATATCCACATAAACATAGAAAAAGACACAAAAAAAAGGCTGCGAATAAGTGGGTGTTTACACGGATAGAGGAATAAGTAAAACTAGATCGGGGTTTACCTTAGGAAGGATCACAAACAGGACTTTTAGTATGGGGGTGTGAATCCTGAGGAGAAAACAGAGGTCAATCGAGAAGGTTGAAGGTGTTGTTCGTCGTCTCCGTGTGGATAGTCTGTCAAATCACTTTGGGGAATTTAAAACAAAGAAATCGTCACATGCACCTTCTCCCCCAAAACCCACATATGGTAGGCGGTGGGCGTGGCCCTCCAAACCAGAATTTTTTGCAATTTTTTGAGAGTTTTAAAGATAAGACTTAATTTTTTGTTAACTCGTTTAGAAGACAAACTCGGCAAATATAAACAACTTTTTTTCCCCCAAAAATTAGTTAAATAATTTTTTTTTTCTTTTACAAAAATGAGGTGTGGGATTTTTTTTCAAAGAAGTTTAAAGAGTCGTTTTATAGTTTTATAGTCTGTCATGACTTATAATTGATAAATTTAAGAAGATTTCGGATGGATGTAAGGATTTTCTTACGAGTTGTTTCTCCGAAATTGAAATTAAAGACGGGATTTGGTGTTGTGGAAATGATAAGGCGCCGGGACCCGATGGTTTTAAATTTATGTTTTTAAAGAATTATTGGAACTTGATAAAAGGTGATGTGATTATGTTTGTGAAAACTTTGAGTCATCCGTATCTTGGCAAAAGGATGCAACTCCTTTTTTATCTTTTTAATTCCGAAGTCTAATGATCCACTTTCTTTGAAGGATTATAGGTCGATTAACCTTGTTGGGTGTTTATACAAGGTGCTCTCAAAGATTCTTGCTAATCGGCTTAAAAGAGTTTTGGATAAAATTATTTGTCCTGAACAAACCGTTTATGTGGAAGGTAGAAATATTTTGGATGGTCCCCTTTTACTTAATGAAATCATTACATGGACCAAAAAGTGTAAGAAAAAAACCTTGATTTTCAAAGTGGACTTTGACAAGGCTTTTGACTCCTTGAGTTGGGAGTTCTTAGACTCGATTTTGGATCAAATGGATTTTGGTTGGAAATGGAGAAAGTGGATTATGGGGCTGTCTTTCTTCGAGTAGGGCCTCGGTTTTGGTCAACGGCTCGCCTACAAAAGAGTTTGACGTCACTAGAGTAGTTAGGCAACGGGATCCTCTAGCGCCATTTCTTTTTATTATTGTTATGGAATGACTTCATGTTTTTATGGAAAGAGTACGTGAACTTCACTACTTACATTGGTTGTCTTTCCATTAAATAACATTTATATCTTGCATCTTATGTATGCCGATGATGTTACTTTCATTGGAGATTAGTCAGAAACCAACTTTGTTAATCTTAATAGGTTATTTTGATGCTTTTTTCTTGCCTCGTATTTGAAGGTAAACTTGTATAAAAGCAAAGTTTATGGCATTAATGTTAACTCTTTGGAGATTGATAGGTTTGCTAGCATCTTGAAGTGTGAGTTTGTTACTCTCCCTTTCAGTTACTTGGGCCTACTGTGTAACACCCTGAATTCAGAAGACCTAGAAAGGAAAGGAAACCTCAAAATCATAAAGCAACTTGTCGAGTAGGTTGGATGACTCGACGAGTAGGAGCATAAGTTGTGTCGCGGGTTATGTTACCTACTTGACGAGTTGGGGGACCAACTTGGTGAGCTGGTCAGGGTTTGGGAAACCCTAAATTCGGGATTTGGCACCTTATTTAAGCATTTTATTCGCCTTCTCTTGGTTCCATTCCTAGCCTCAATTGTCCAGAGCTCAACCCACGAAACCCTAGAGCCTTGTGAGAGTATGAGAGCCATCCTAAAGTGTTTTATGTGTTCTTGGAGGCTAGAAGCAGAAGAAGGAGTTTGAAGATTCAAGTGGAAGTTTGTAGATCCAGCAACACCATCTCATTTCCATCAATTCTGGTAATCAAGTCTTCATCTTGGCTTATAGTTTCTTAGATCTCCTTATGTTCATTTTATGAGAGTTTTGGTCCATTGAGCTTGATCTATGGGACAAGGACATCCCAAGAAAAGATCCTTTCAGATCTGGAATCCCTAAGAGTGGTTAAGGCATAAAGGTGCAAGCTTTATGCCATTAGAAACCCCTATGCAAGCTTCAAGGAGTAGTTATGGTCTTTTAAGCCTCAAAAGGCAATCCATGGATCTAAAGGCAGAGACTTTATGTGTTCTTCTAGTGTATAAGGCCTAGATCTATATTAATATGCTTTGGATTGGAGTAATGAGGGTTTTTGGACATAGATTTATGTCTTAAGGAGCTAGGGTTTTAGCTAAACTCATTAAGATGGATTAGGAGTGGGTAAAGTTGGAAACTTTACCCTCAGGATGTCATTTCCAACATGTAGACGAAGGTTGGGGTTTGGATCTGAAGTGCAGGGGCTTAATCTATTAAGATGACCCAAAAAACTGAGGGACTCGGCGAGTCTAGGGAGGGACTCGACGAGTCTGTAACATCCCGAGTCCAGGAATGCAAGTTCGGGGTTCAAAGTGTAAATTTGAAGGGCAACTCGGCGAGTAGGGTCGCGACTCAGGTGGCGTGTTAAGTGGCCAACTCGGCGAGTCCAAAGCTGGACTCGACGAGTAGGCGTTGTGCGAAGAAAACCCTAATTTCGGGGGATGAGCCCTATATAAAGGACATTATACCCTCTCCCCAGCCTCCTTACCTTCCCTTGAAGTCCAGAAAACCCTAAAAGCGTGATTGTGAAGGATTTGAGTGCATTTGAGCCTTGGAGAAGAGATCTGGAGGAAGATCTTGGAGAGTTAGGAGGCTTGGAGCAAGGGGCTTTGCTTAGATTCGGATTTCTTTGCTGTTGGGGGCTTCCTTTTGAGGTATTATTTCGTTCTTGGGCTGCTATTCATTTAGATTCATCATTTTTGGGATGTGTGGGAAGTTTAGCTTGTGGTATTTAGATTTTAAAGGTTAGATCTGAGGTTGCTTCCTCAGATCTGGAATGGAGAAGGTCTAGAGTTCATTAAAGTCCCTGTTATTGAATGTTTGGTGAAGCCATCTTGTCCCAAACCCTAGTCCTAGAGTGTAAAATGCTTAGATCTCTTTGGATTCACGTAAAGTTTGCCACTTTACATGATGGAAGGATTGTAGAAGGGTAGATCTACGTTTTGGATCGATTGCATGGCCTGGAAGGCTTCTGTATGGGTTAAGAACTAGTAGTACTCGGCGAGTCACAAGGGTGTACTCGGCGAGTTGCTTGAAGGCGGGCAGGAACTCGACGAGTTTGAAGAACAACTCGGCGAGTTGGTTGAAGATAGCCTTAGACTCGGCGAGTCTGGTCTTGAGGTCTTAGCCTTTCCTGGTTAAGCTAAGAATTGGTGAGTCAAGGGATGACTCAGTGAGTTGAGATGGGTCCTTTTCAGTGTTGGGGGACTCGGCGAGTAGAGTCAGCCAGAAGGTTGACTTTGACTTTGACTTTGACCAAGAGTTGACCAGTTGACTTCTAAGGGCATTTTGGTAATTGTTGGCCTTTGTTTTGAGTTGAGTGTTGGTGTTAGCCAATGGTGGAGATCGTGTCAGTGGTCGGAGCATTTCGGTCTTATCTTTCCAGTCAGTAGTTGCGAGGCGAGTTATCCTTACTATATCAACAGGGTCTAAGGCACCAAGGTCGGCCCTTTATCGGATTGTAATCCGGGTATTGTTGTTATGTTGTTGTTTTACTGTGTTCGCATCCTGGTAGTTAGGATGGTATTCGTTAGAGACCTGGTTAAGGTCGGTATCCTGGTATATAGGGTGATGTTATGCTAGTGACCGGTGAGGTCGGTATCCTGCTTGGAGTATGCTGTGTTACGTGATCTGCTAGATCGGTTTGATTGAATGTAAATTGTTATATGATTGTATGTTTATGTGCACATGGTTGTTAGACTGGGGTTGGGTTGAGGCGGGACCTGCTTTGTGCTGTAGGCCAACATACCCAGGGCAGACCTGTTATTCTGAAGGCCCAGCGAGCCGTCCGGATAGGCTGTAGGCCCGATGAGGGCGGACCAGACGTACTAAGGCTCGGAGGGTGGACCAGGCCGACTGAAGGCCCGATGCGGGCGAACCAGTCATACTGTAGACTCAGAGAGTGGACCAGGTGGGTTGAAGGCCCGGTGCGGGCGGACCAACCATACTGCAGACTCGAGGGACATGACTAGACTCGGAGGGTGGACCAGGTGGACTGAAGGCCTAACACGGCGGACCAGTCACACAGTAGACCCAATATGTATGGCTGTTCTGTGATTTGATATGATATAGCATGTTCTGTGTGTGGTATATGTGGTTGGTAATTTTGGGGGTATATCACTAAGCTTTCAGGCTTACAGTTGTGGTTTAATGTTTTTCAGGTTCTTCAGGAGACCGTGGCAAGGCAAAGGCGTGATCGTACCGCTCCTCGCGTTTATGTTTTATGATATTGTTCTGGAATACTCTGATAATAAATGTATTGAAAACCTTCTTGTAATAACATTATTAAAATGAGTTGTTTTTGAAAAGTTTAAATTGGTTGAAATTTTTGGTCGTTACAAGTTGGTATCAGAGCCTTGGTTTGAGTGAACTGGAGGAACATTCGTGTGAATCCAATCTCAAATCAGGGAGAGTTTTTAAAAAAGAATTTAAAATGGTTTTCAAATTAAGTAAAAGGAGGACGCGGAGGTATGAGAGCCGGAGCCCGTAAGTAACCCCAAAATACCATGCATGATAATTGTTTTCGAGCTTTGATAGAACAACATGCTAGTACTAGGCTAGGGATCTTCAGGATTTCATGATAATGTTTCCTGTTTTATGATGCCTGCTTGCCTAGGGTTTCCTTCCGTATGAGATTTTCAGTGTTCCTCTAGGAGTGAGGATTGAGCGCTTGCTATGTATATTTGTCACTAGGGTGTTGTGGTAGTACTTCATAAAAATATGGGTAGGTGTGGAAGGTAGTATGGGCCCGTACTACTGAAAGCACAGGACCCATACGCTTATCAGGGAAACCATGACCTCTAGGGTTGAGTTGGGAGTTGGTTCCCGGGTTAGTGGGAAGTATCTGAGATTTTGTGGTGTTTTTCAGTATGGTGGTCACGAGGCATGCTGGGAGCAGATCCGAGTCGGGATCGGGAGCAGGAGAGGGAGGTCAGGGCGGGTCTGTACCGCCCGAGGTTGTTGGTCAGATGAGCACAGGCGAGTTGGATGCTACGATACGTGAGATCCTATATGATGAGGTTGTTGCGTTGTTCCGGGCCGAGCTGCCAGAACTGTTTGGGTCG